ATAAATGCCAGTACTTGCAGTTGATTGTGGTTTCAGACGATTCCAAGACATGGTGCTCCTTACACAATTTGCAAAGAGCGGCACATGCCTATTGAAGGTAGATGTTTCCTCCTATATGTTCAAACAACGCTGCTCAGGCATTGGTAGACAATGAGTCAATTTAAATACGAGCATATTGGCTTGACTCTAACCTATTGGAACTCGTTGTTCAAAGGTGGCATTTTATATGAAAATCTACATAATGGATAATGTCACTGTTACGTAATATGGCACGGGCACAGAGTACTACCACAGGCGACACTAGCTCAAAATTCAGGTTCTGTCAACGCCAACTTGAGTCCTATGCTAGTGTGTCATATAGGATTTAGGGCTTATAAAAAACATTCAGTTTTGGTTTTTTGTTTTTTTTAATTTTTTTTTTTGTTTTGGTTATATTCAATGTAAAACAGCACCTGGGTATATGATAAACACAAATAAATTTCTCGATTATGTTGTTTGACATTCGGACGTCAGGCTAATGAAGCGTACCCCCAGGAAAAAATCTTCCAGACGCCAATGAACATAAGCGGGAAATGTGCAGTTGGCGACAGGAAGATCAAAGGGACCGACAGCAGGTGCGGTATCTGTATAATCTCTGGCACGGGTATTATATAAAAAATCTAAAAAACGTAAAAAAAGCCGGCGAAATGTCAACTTACAGACTAGGTAGTCTTTAGTGTGCAAATAAGTGGTTCCACTTTTGCTTGCTATGATCGGAGTCCGCTGACGTTTAAGCAACACGTACATATATAAGTTCGTCTAAATCAACAGTACTCTACGGAACAAAAAATTTGTTCTGGTGTACCACAGGGATCAGTCTTAGGACCGCTATTATTTTCATTATATATCTCAGATTTAGAAACAGAGGTAAAATCATGCAGCATACAATTTTTGCAGATGATACTCAAATTTTCTATTCATTTAGGAGTAATGACTTAGAAACCGCAAATAATAAAATTAATCAAGATCTTGCCCAAATTGAAAAGTTCAGTAGTAGTCATAATCTTCGTTTGAACCCTTTGAAGACAAATATGTTGGTATACGCAAATAAAACAAAAAAGAATACCTTAAAAAAGGACATAGACATACATTTAAAAGGTAATAAATTAATTCCTGTGGATCATTCGAAAAACCTAGGTATTATAATGGATGATGACTTAAAATTTGTTGCACACGTGAACTATCTAATTACGCAGTGCTACGCTATTCTCAGAGTTTTATTTGCAAATAAGGCTATATTACATAAATCTGCGAGAAAGCAATTGTGTGAATATTTCGTATTTTCAAAGATATCGTATTGCTTAGTGGTTTACTATCCCTATTTAGATATTATAACAAGAAATCGTATTCAAAGTATTATGAATACATGTTGCAGGCTTGTAAATGATCTCAGAAAATACGATCATATATCGAATGCCATTAATGAACTCAAATGGATGAAAATTGATAAAATGTATAAGTACCAGCTCCTAAATCTGACTCATAAGGTTCTTTATTCAAAAACACCGTCATATTTAGTAAACAAATTCATACGTAGAGGGAATATGCATCGTATTAATATTAGATATAGAGAGACTTTTTCAATTCCACGCCACAGCACGTCTCTATTTCAGAATTCATACATTTACAATGCGATCAAATCATATAATTCTTTAGACCGCAATTTAAAAGAAACCAATCCATTATCCAAATTCAAGAAAAAAGTGAAAGAAGTTCTTCTTGATCAGCAGCGAAATCGGTTGTAACCCATAAGTGTCCTCATATTTTCCTTATGTATTTACTTGGATTATTCGTTATTGTATACAGGTGCCTATTAATTTTCAATAAATTCTTTTTTTTTTTGTTTTTTTTTTTTTATTTTTACATCTCGAATTGTTAAGGGGGTTAGATGGTAGAATAGATATATAATCTAAATCTCGCCTCCTGTAAGAATATTACAAATAAGAGACGTTAATTATTATTATTATTATTATTATATATCGTACAGCTACAAAACAAGTTGACAAGTGTACAACAACTTGTGCTAAGTTAGCATGCTGTGAAAAACCTACTTTATGTCACAAAAAACCGACGAAATAAAAAAAATTACGCAATGTCACTTTTCAAGATACGTAACACCCGTGTGCTGCACCGTTTGACCAAATTTGTGTATTCTCTCAAACACTATATCAGTAGCGTCCACAATAACCGTGAAAGTTCGGTATGACATAAAACAGATCTCACAATTCACAGAGAGAAATGAAGCTTTGCATTTTTAATCAAGCCGTAAGTATCATGTCACTGTTACGAGTCGCAGTAAACCACCCTTAATACCGCGAGCCTGGAGCTTGATGAAAATTTAACTGCTGGGAGAATACGTGTCACATGGCACAAATCTGATGAGAAAGCTCAAATGAGGCTGGATAATTTCAGAGTGCAGGAAACGTTACGTTTGTGTTATGATAAAATATATTAGCAACAACATAGTTGGTTTGTATCGACAAATTCAGACTAGATAAATGGAGGCAGTGACGGGTTTGTTTATATCTTGATTCTCATGGTCTTTCGTGGAGATCAAAGCGCACTTGACATAAGTCAGTTTTTTTACAGTTCTGTCATTAAATTCCTATGTTTAATGTTATTTTTTTTAAAACATCATGTTTACATGATTTGCATAGAGCGGCACAAGGCTAATGAAGGTAGATGTCTCCACCTGCAAGTATTAATATTATGTTGATACAACGCTGTCACCAATGCCTACCAATAAATGAGTCAAAAGTATGCAATAAAATTACGCAAGTTTGGCGATAAACAATGCAATGTGTGGGTGTACTTGACTCCCCCTGTTCAAACTCGTTGGTTTGTATAAATAATATGAGTTGAGCAACGTCTAAGTATACAACTTAGTGTTGCTAAAACGTGATAGAAACATACAAGACATGAATGTTTCGAGTAGGCAAGCAAAATTTTATGGGGTGGCGCAGAGGAAACGCATGTTTTCTGACCGAATGGTATTTCGCACAGAATAGGGATATGACCTCGCCGCACCGCCAGCAGAGAACACATGCGATGCAGTTTCAGCCATGGCACCGTGGTTGACGGAGCATCGTGTGTTTGCCGTCGAGCAATTTTTTCGAAACGATAATTCTGTAGTGATCGTGCAACGTTTATTCCGTCGACAGTTCAATGTTGAACGCCACGGGCCAATTCCAGATCGAAACACAATACTCCGATGGGTTGAAGCATTTCGAAGTACTGGATCCGTAATGAAGAGGAAGCCACCTGGGCTTCCCCGTACCGTGCGGACTCCAGGCAATATCGAAACAGTGAGAAGAGCGGTCCTTGATAGTCCCCAACGGTCCACTAGGCGCCAAGCTCCAACTCTGCGTATGTCCCGTCGGTCGTTACAACGCATTCTGCATGACGATTTACAATATCATCCGTACAAGATAATGATCGTGCAAGAGCTAACGGAAAGCGATTTTGCACAGCGTAGAGAATTTTGAGCGAGAATGCGGGCCATTTTTGCTGACGATCCTGACGTCGTCATAATGATGAGTGACGAAGCACACTTCCATTTAACAGGATATGTAAACAAGCAGAACTGTAGGTATTGGGCGGCCGAAAATCCACGAGAGCTACACCAACGACCCTTGCATAGTCAAAAATTAACTGTGTGGTGCGGAATCAGTAAATTAGGTATCGTTGGTCCTTACTTTGTTGAAGAGGAAGAAAGAGCAGTAACAGTTACTTCAGCACGTTATGTTCACATGTTACAAAATTTTCTGTTACCCGAACTTCAACGGCAACAAGTAAACATGGGAGAGCTGTGGTTCCAACAAGACGGTGCCACAGCTCACACAGCGAGAGCATCAATGGAATGGATTCGACAGATGTTTCCTGAACATGTGATTTCCCGTTTCGGCGATGTCCCTTGGTCCCCACGCTCCCCAGATTTGTCCGCATGCGACTTCTTTTTGTGGGGTTACCTTAAGGATAAAGTGTACCCTCACAAGCCTCGTACGTTACAGGAACTGAAAATTGCTATTCGTCAAGAAATTGCAAGAATACCACAAGAAATGATTTTACGTGTAATGCACAACTTTCAAGAGCGGTTGGAGATGTGCGAGCGCAAAGCAGGGCGACACTTGAGTGACGTTATTTACCATCATTAGTTTAAAAGTGCACTATCATTACTTTATTTAGCTGTAACTGAAACAAAGTTATCTTGAAAATAAAAAATGTTATGCTTAGGTGAAAATCGTGCGTTTCCTCTGCGCCACCCTGCTTATTTTCGTAGCGCTCGGCACCGGTGTTTAAATATGCCTATTTTTTTGAGTCTAAATGGCAAATGTGTGAGGATATTTACTTGTGAACATAAGCCTAATACGTGAGTAGAATTACCAAGGTTAGATGTAGCTATATCAATATACCAACAACAAAGTGCGTACCTTTTAAGTCTACCCTTCACCAACCCAACTTTTGATCTCTCGGAGAAAAGCCTATGAACTAGTTGGGCTCTCTGAAATGTAAAAAAAAGAAGAGTGATCCTAATTTTCTTTTCATTTTTTTCTGCAGGTGGCTCCGTCAGTACTGGATTCATTCTTAAAACTTATAAGTACTTATAGGTATCGGGATTTCGTCAAAATCCTAGCGGTTCTGTCTAGAGTTATAGAAGGGTCCAGAATTACCGCACAAACAGACCGACAAACCGACAGACATACCCACGGCCAGACCGACAGAAATGAGTGAAATAATTTATGTGAGATTTGAAATTATAACAGCGGATTACGGCACAAAAAACCTGTGAGCGTTGGCGTGCTGTGTGCCCTTTTTGATCAGTTGTTTTCCATCATTACTTATTCGGCAAGGTATACAACTATATTTTCATATCGCTGTAGTGGATACAGACGTCGTAAGAGATGATGATCTCCGAGATTTTCCGTAATGATTTCATATTGAAATGTTTCTTTTGTTTCCAGGAAGTTAGCAGATATCTCTCGATCAACGAGAGGAGTGGTGGTTCTCATGAGCGACCGTCCAAGTGCCATTCGCATCCTAGAGGATGCTCATCGGCTCAACATGATGGACGGCCATTTTGTATGGTTATGGGTCGACACGGCGACCATCATTACTGTGAAAAATTCCACCGCATCGGTGGAGGAAGATAAGGTATCATAAAACATGTCTAGGGGTGCAACTAAGTCACTTCTATCATAATTGTATCCCACTTCTAATCTATTATTCCATTAGCCTCTACAGTAAATGTGTTCAGAATAATTGGCTCCATTGCTTTTTTTGTTATACACCGCGGATCTTCAAGATACTGTCAAGCACTGTCATGTGCAATTCTTTGCCGATGACACTCAGGTAAAGTATGATTTTCCAGCCTCACGCTACTCTGAAGCCCAAGACCAAATCAATGAAGATTTGTCAAGTATTAGCCGCTATTGCAAGTTACATTACCTCAAGCTCAACCCATCGAAGTGTAAAGCATTGCTATTTGGCAATATCAAAATAAGAGCAAATCTTATAAGCAAAATTAACGTTCAAATCGAAGGAGAAATCATCCCTTATTCAGAATGTGCCAAAAATTTGGGCTTACATTTAGATGAAGACCTGAGGTTCGAAAAACACTTACAGCATGTTTTGAGGCAATGTTACGGTTCGCTCCGGCTTCTAATTGCATCACTGGTAAGCAATTGAAAAAACAGCTATGTGAAAGCTTGGTATTGTCTAAGATTTCGTATGGGCTAATAATTTATTACCCCTGCCTAACTGCTGCGAATAAAAGACGTCTACAGATAATGCAAAATACCTGTAGTAGGTACATAAATAATTTGAGGAAATTTGATCATATATCGCATACGTATTCTGACCTCAATTGGTTAACTATAGATAATCTATACAAATATTCTGTTATAAGTTCTGTGCATCGTATTTTACTATCCGCATCACCCCCATACCTGTTTGAAAAATTTATTACCAGATCCAGCACGCATAATATTAACACAAGGCATCAGGCTTTCTTTCTACTGCCAGTCCATCGTACTGTTTTATATTCAAGAACGTTTATTTACAATGCCGTTAAATATTACAACAGTATTAATTTTCATTTTAAAAATATTGCGAATATTAAAACTTTTAAATTAAAATTGAAGTCCGATCTTCTCTCGCAAACATGAATTGCCACTTATATTTTTTTATTGGTTAATGATGGTTGATTTTAAAAAAAAATCCCTTTGATCACAGTTTTGTTGGTTTAAAACAAACCGATTTAAATTTATGTACCATAGTTATTGTCATCCACTTCTATGTAATTTCGTATAAATTATCAAAACGGGGTTAGGTGGAAGAATAGCTCACGCTAAACCTCGCCCCTCGTAATGTACTAAATGTTTAGTGCAATAAAGACCCTTTATTATTATTATTATTATTATATCATTACCTCACTAGAGATGGTCCAAACCACATCATATACGGGGTGAAAAGGAAAATCTCAAACTAGAGGAACATTAGTCTTTGCTTTTCTAAGTAACTCATTCTTATGTGACTGTTGTTCTGTTTGATTAGAAAATCGTATATTCATTTAAAAGACCTAAATTAATTCCTCTCTCTCTTTGTTAAACAGGAGTCCTCGAAGGATTCAGACCGGTTCAAACGTGCCTACGAAGAGAGAGAAACGGATGAACATGGTACAGTAGAAGACAGGAAAAGATATAGGCTGAATGATGTTATGGGAGACATCAGAACGATGCAAGCTAGTTACTTTGTACAGAGCAATCAGTTCCTGTTTTTCCACAGAGAAGATAGGAAATGGACGGACAGGTACGGTTGGTCATATTTATGAAATCGTTACTCTTGTATATTTTTCAAAGATGGTGGAAGTTGGTTCTCCTTGATCTTATTTCAAAAATAAATAGTTCTGCGGATAAAACTCACCAACAGCTGGCGAGACTGCCACTAAATTATGGAGGCTTCGTGTACCAAAACCTCAGAATGGAATCACAATTTTTTCAGAATGTACTGGCAAATAGATTGTTGAACAGAAATCCCGCAAATAAAATCTCACTAGCTACCACTCATTACCTAGAACCCCACATGGACAGTGTCGACCTTGGCGGGCTAATCTGCATTGCCGCAAAACAAGCAGCAGCAAATAGGACAAACAATTTGTTGAAAGAGCTCAAATTTCTAAATATATACGAGGTAGGTCTTTTAAGTTTTGCATATAGAAACAAAGTAGGCCGCGCGGATAGATCGTCAGTACTGAATCTTAACCTCACTCTTTAGTAAGCTTAAATTCAAAGTTTCACAACGATACGTGCAGTGTCCTCACCACAGTGAATTTTTAAGTGTCACCAAGTCATTAAAAAAATGGAACTCAACCGAGAGCATTTTCGCGCCATAATTTATTACAACTTTCAGAGACATTATCGCAACAAGAATGCCTTGCTGAGTTACTGTCTGTTTTCGGAAACGAAGCGCCACATCAGTCGACAATTTCTCATTGGTATGGAGAATTCAAACGTGGACGGGTGAGTCTTAGCGACGCGACGATCCCAGGGTGGGTGCACCAAAAACTGCAGTCACCCAGCAAGACCTCGATGCTGTGCGCAAACTCATCATTGAAGATACACATGTGACATATCGCGAGATTGAGGCGTCCCTGAAGATCTCAAAGACCTCGATTCAAAAAATTTTACATGAAGAATTAGGAGTAAGAAAATTAGTTTCTCGTTGGATACCCCACCTGTTGACTGAAGAGCAGAAAACAGCTAGGGTTATTGGTGTCAAAAACGCTTGATCGTTTCAATTCCGGAAACTCAAAAAATGTGTACAGCATTTTTAGTGGTGATGAATCGTGGATTTACTGTTATGAACCAGAAAATAAACGACAGTCGGCTGTTTGGGTGTTCCAAGGCGAAGAAAAGCCAACAAAAGTCATCCATTCTCGAAGTGTTTCGAAAAAGGTGGTCGCGACATTTCTGTCAAAAGCGGGTCATATTGCAACAATTCCTCTTAATGAGCAAAGAACTGTTACTGTGGATTGATATACCACGATTTGTTTGCCAAAAGTCATCACCAAGCTTCGGAAAATCAACCCCGAAAGAAGAATCATCCTCCACCAAGACAATGCAAGCTCGCACACAGCCCAAAAAATAAGGCAGTATTTAACTGAAGAAAACGTGGAATTATTGGACTATACTCCATATAGGCCCGATCTAAGTCCTAGCGATTTCTATACTTTCTCGAAAATTAAAAACAGACTGCGTGATCAAAGGTTCTAGTCACCAGAAGAAGCAGTTGACGCATTCAAAAATGCCGTTTAGGATCTGCCAGCAAACGAGTGGAATAAGTGCTTCGAAAATTGGTTCGAGCGCATGCAGATGTGTATTAATGTTCGTGGAGAATACTTCGAAAGACAATAAAGTCATTTAAAACTACCTACCGTGTTGTTTTATTCCCATATGCAAAACTTAAAAGACATCCCTCGTATACCAGAACATTGCTTTCTATGAGGATGCTTTTGCACTTCGATACCTACTTATTTGAGATTTTCTAAGTCAGCCTAATTCTTAATATTCTAGAAGGCCTCGGAGTAAAGGTGGGGGGTCGCCCTCCATAGGACAACTACCTCCTGGTCTGCTAAGCCTGAAACCTTTACCAGTCAAGGTAGATAGGCACGTAGTTAAGGGAGCTATGCGTCTGTTGATTGTCGCCCTTAAGGAAGCGTTGGACCAATCAACGCCTGCGATGCTAAACGATTTGGTGAGGGCTAACAGCGACGGGTGTTGGAAAAACACACCCAGTAAGGGGAACATGTTCATACAAAACTTTGCTAGGTAAGTGTAACTTTATTTTAGCATAGGATTATTCTGAGGATGGTAATGTGGCTTACTGGGATTTGATCACTTATATAAAATGAAGAAAATACGACCAAACTAGTAATATAGCTTTTGATTGTCCGACTATGGATGCTAACCATCGACAGCTGTTTTATGCCATTCGGATAGTACTTTGGGCTAACTTATTTCTATAAATACGCCCAAGTCGCGACTATTAGAATAATTTGTTCTTGTTTTTGCTTTTTAGTTCATCTATAAACATTCTTTCGGTTAACGATGAAAATGTGTAACTTGGTGCATTAATGTCTTTCTGATAATTTGAGTCTCTCAAAAGTAGAGTTATGTGCCATTAATAATAATATGTGAGTCAATATGTAGGGGAATCTTCGTCAAAATAGTAAAACAAGGTTACTTGATTTTGACACGTGACATGCAATACCAGTATAAGAAAGTCAGATTGTCGGACACAAGAGTGGCAACTGCGTATTGCTTGTTGAGGCGGGAAGCAATTTTCACGTTTTAATAAATGGGGGGTTCGAAATCCTAAACATTCATATTACATTTTGGTTTCAAGTGGGGGATTCGATGAATTAACAATTTTTTGCATTGTTTATGGTTTCTGAAAGCTTTTGCTTGCTGTTTTGATTTTCTGCACAAATTGCAAAATGGAGAGATCATAAATCCTGCATTTCAAGGCTGATATTTAAAATATTTGACACATAAACACTGCGGCTGCTCATGTTATTTAGGAATTGCATCTAATGCCATTACACTTGAATTTCATTTACGATACTGCTGTAGCACGTGTGACCATGTTTCACTCTAAAAGACGTATTTAGATGAAAGAAATTCCTTGTCTTGGGCGTGGACTGGTTATACATCCATCATTCAACAGACAGCACTGGTGTCATGTGACTGTTACTACATCATACTCGGATCATTTCAGTCATGACGGATCACTATCACTATCAACTGGAACAGGGAGCATTAGAATTTCAATATCTCCACAAATTTTAATTAGAAGTCGACATAATCCATTCTAACTGTCTAACTTGAGACTGACTGGTACATTCTTAAGTTGAGGAGGTGAACAGAAAAATCAGATAGTTGAGTACTTGCTTTGTTACTGCTTAGCTTTTTTGGCAATTCTTGGTGTTTATGGTCAGTGTTAGGAACCTTCTCAAACGATGGGGGCGATTGATGATCTAGCCCTGAGTGACCCCAGGGAAGTAAGTACAACAGCCTTAAAGAACTTTAGTGCTGTGATCCTGGCTGATCCTCCGTCCTCCTATAAAGCAAACAGGATAGAGAAGCATTTAACTTCGATCCACTAAATAATCAGTTATGCAGTTTGATGATATATCTGTGGTATCTGGAGCGAGAAAGAACCTCACATTGAGAAGTGACTCGTGAAATTATTCTAGATAATCTTCGCCCACATTTCCAATCTGATATCGACTTCCCATTTCCTATTTTCTTTTGGTAACAGCTTATGACGGCGATACCCTATTCGGGCTCAGCGCATATTGTTCTGTATCCGATCATCTACATGAGAATATATATGGAGCAGGAAATAAACTTTGGCTAACATATAGTCGTTACCGTTATCCCATTTCCTCGAAGAACGCATCCCCTTTATGATCCTATATATCTATACCTTTCAGCCTGACTTCGAAACGATATCTTGCAAAGTCGCTGAATATCTCCCGGGAAATGCACTACATTTCCCTTATTTTTCCGCCGGACTTTTTTATTATAAATCTAAACATCGGTGGTGACAATTTTCCCGTTGGTTATTTTCACATTTGTCTTGTATTTTGAGAATTGGTGTTTTTCTTTGATATACTTCCCATGAAGCTAAATTGCAGCTACAACCAAATAGCAAACAAATATTATTTCAGGTCGCTTCATATACAGAGCGAATTTTTTGTGTAGGCTCTGCAGATAACTCCGTTATTACCCATGGTATTTGCAAAAGCTAATGAAACAAGTTGTAGTCAACAGGACAACATCTCATCAACTGTTATAACTAGAGTTACTGAGTTTTTAGCCAATAAAATTTCATGACCCCATATTATGCTTTCTTTTTCAGTTTTTTTTGATAGTCACAAACATAAAATGAACGATTACTCAAAACTTTCAAATACCCTATATTCACATATTTTGTTTCCCTTTCCAAAAGCTTTTATTTAGTGTGAGGCTTATGGCGGCTTGTACAATTGGTTTTTGAGTTACTAACCTTTTTTAAGTCCGATATTAAGATAAGTAACTCAAATTGTTTTGAAAATAGAAGCACTTGTAACGGCAATTCGTTAGAATTGGTGAATTTTCATTTTAAATCAAATCTACCCAACCATATGCAATAAAGTCGAACAGTCAAGAAGATGTCCTTGTGGTTCTAGCGCATGATCGGTCCATAGATCCATTATAACACAAACATGTTATCTGTGAAGGTACTATTCGTCATTTGCAGGTCTGGGCGGTCCTTAGGACCTTTGCCCATTAGTCACTGTCTAATGTACGTTAGTCGAATCTATCAGTCCTGGTTGCTCAGAAACCAGAAAGTGTTAAGGTAAAATGAGAAAGAGAAGAAAAAAGGAGCAGAGCAAAGAAAAACAGAAGTGTATTAGTTAAAGAGGAAACACATAGGCTTCTTGACTTGGCATACCAATTAATTTTGAAGTGAACTAAATACAAGTTTTGATTCAGGTTTCATTAGAGTGTAATTTTGGGTTTCCTAAGAGTTGGCGCTAATTTTTGATCCTGGTGCGAGTCGTGGTCTTGAATGTCTACGAACTTGTTCCAATGTGTGGTCCACTGATTCGCGCAACAGAGGGTTGCTGTGTGATTCCGCTTGACTATAAGGTTGCTGCGTCTGAAGCTTGACATAGTCCCTCAAGTAAGGAATGTCAAGGTTTTTGTGTAGTGTCTCATTTAAAACATACCATGGAGCGTTGCAAATTGTTCTTAAAGTTATGCTTTGCAGTAATTGAAGACTTTGCATGTTTGTCTTGGCAATAACATAAAAACTTAGAGTATGAAGGAAAGTAGAAAAAATTGCTTTGCATCGTGGGTATATTTGTATTGGAAGCGATACCCTGAACGCAGGCACCTTAGACTGAAGGCTTAGCAAGTATTGGATAGTTTTACTTGTACTGACCCGTTAGATACGAGAAACATGAAATGGCAACATGCTTGATTTGCTTTGGTGACAAGCCCGGCTTGATGCTACAAAACACGTGGTGCCTGCCATTCTGAAAGCCTTAACTATCAACGCTTCATTAAATTGTGCGTTGTAAACGAGACCTCTTATATGGTATGTACCATCCTATACCTGAAAGGATGAGTAAAACAAACAACTTTGCTTTATGCAAACAGAATCGCACATCAACCCCTTGTTGCGCGATCAATGGTCGGGCAAGTTTTGAAAGACTCCAGGCATTCCGCATAATGTGTTCTAAAACTGTTTGTTTCTAACAATTCTTTATGAAACCTTCATCAAGATTCACATTGCAAAATAGTTACTAAGTTATCGAACTAAAAACGCCAAAGCATTGTCCTCTCGGGCTGGTCCACTTCATTTTTTGAGGTTATCCAACAGATCCTACTTCATGGGCTACAAGACCAATGGCTTAAAATTTTATAAATACAAAATGGCGGGTGACACAGTCAGTCAAGCTCTTAAATGCAGGATTTCCGTTCTGATTCACTCTCCTGGTCACTCTCTTCCTCCCTTTTTTCTCACGTCCGTTCCCTTCTTATTTAATTTCGCTGATATCTGCGTAACAAGATCTGATAAACATCCGATATGTAAAGGTTGCCCATTATTCAAGGCATTATGGAATCCTGAGAACCGCGTACAGGTTTCAGAAGATTAAGAGAATAATTGGCCGAACATAGTGCATGACCAATTAATGCAGTTTATAGAAGAAAACAAAATTCTAGTGGAGGCGCAAGCAGGCTTTCGAAAAAAAATATTCCACAGAAACGGCTTTCCAGTTGGTAACTGAGAATTGGAGAAGAGCCATAGACTCAGAAGAAGTTGTCATAGCAGTATTTTTGGATTTGAAGAGGGCATTTGGAACGATTGATAGAGATATTTTGTTAGGTAAATTGAAGGCATATGGTATAACAGAAAGTGTTTTAGATTGGTTTAGAAATTATTTGTCTCAAAGGATGCAAGTTACAAAGTTAATGACACTATTTCATCAAAAATTGAAAATACGTTGGGTGTTCCACAGTGCAGTATCCTGGGACCACTTCCCTTTATTTTATACATAAATGATTTACGTGCCATAGTCAAAAAATGCAAAATGCTGATTTTCGCCGATGACACTATGATTTATATAAGTACTAAAAATATTCAGTCTGGTATCTCTTATATAAATGAAGAGTTGAAGCTTGTCTCAAAATGGTTAGTATCTAACAGACTAAAATTAAATACAAGTAAAACGAAAGCCTTGTTAATCGGAAAAAACAATGTACAAATGTTCAACTGAATATTGATGGTGAAGATATTGAATTCGTAGAAAATTTTAAATACCTTGGGGTTTTTGTTGACTCTCGATTAATTTTTGATATTCATTATGAAAAAGTTATAGATAAGATTAGTAGTAAAGTGCGATATTTATCGAGAGTTTCTGGATGTCTGAGTTCATATAACAGAAAACTTATCTATAATACCATCATTCTTCCAAATTTCTTGTACTGTTCGACTATTCAATATTTAGCAAATAATTACATTTTTGAAAGACTGCAAATTTTACAAAATAAATGCATGAGAATAATACTAAATAAAGATAAATATACTCCAATTAGGCAAATGCTTAGCAAATTAAAATGGCTCAATGTAAAAAATTTTATCAAATATCTTGTAATGATACTCATTTATAAAGTAAAAAATAATATATTTCCATCAAGTCTAACTAATTTAGCATCATCAAATGTTGACCATCGTTTACATAATACCAGAAATAAAGATGACTTCCATTTAATGACCAA